TGGCTAATTTGCTGTTGTCGATGAGAGTTGCTGCTCGCGTCAATGTGGCGCAATGCCTTTTTCAGCTCGCGCTCTGAAAAAAAATTTTCTTTTGCGTTGATATTGTGGTAAAAAACAAATCAAAATGTGGTTTAGCTTGGCCTGTACTCTTATCGACAACGATACGCGTCATCACAGTGGTCAAAATTTGTTGTGGACTCACTTGGCTTTGCCTTGTGAGTCCACAATCATTATCTAAATAGTTTATGGAACTAATCGAGTGGTGCCCCAAAGTAGCTAAAGTTAACAAAATGAAGACAGTGTTAAATAAATAATTTAGGTTAAAGTTATTTCTTCCAGATCTCACTAAAAAAAAAAATTAATTACATTTCAACTTAAGAACTAGTAATGTTATTGTACATGTCAATAATTTTTTTTTTTTGATAGTTTTACGAAATCTAGAAAATGGAGTAATTTGCTTGATAGTAATTAGTAGTGAGTTCCAGAAGTTGGTACCATTGTAATGAAGAGAGCGGATACCATATTGGGTAGTTCGAACTGATTTTATAAACAAATTTTCATTCAGTGAATGGTTTATAAGGCCATGGCTTTTAAGACAATGGCTCATAAGGCCATGGCTTATAAATTTACCGCAACTTCTTTGCCTGAAACACGATTAGATGTGCAAAATACGACAGAAAGCCTTAAAAATATCTCCCTCTGTACAAGTCCTTTACCTTTTGTTCAAAACACAATGTATTCAATCATTAACTATGATTCAACGGACAAAAATGGCCAGTCAATGAGAGCCCGTGCGGCTTTTGATGAGGTGAGCCAATGGAGAGCCTTCTGTTTTTGTTGAAAAGATTTGGCGCCCAAGTTAAGTTGCTTATTCAGGTTGTGAATGAGAAGGAAAGAAAGCTTCGGTGAGATTTTTGAAGGTTCAACATTGAAGCCTTTCCTGTCAACCATATTTGAGAGCGAAAGGTTTAATTTCTCTAAAGCTGGGCTCAAAATTGCCTCAACTACAGGGAAATATAGTACCTGGAAC